CATGCAGATGATGATGTGAATGTGTCACTTACTCACAGAATAGAGGCAGTGTAGAACATACCTCCTGGTGGGTCAGTGTTTATCTACCAACTGTCCATCTGCCATTGATGGGATGCTATTTTTAGGAGTCATTAACTTTCTTGCTTTGCATGTAGGCACAGAGTGTTCCCAAAGCTAGCAGCAAGCTGTGTAACAGATGTCCAAATTCCTCAAACCCCCATTATTCTAACATTCCTGTGAGTTTACTCTGTGGTTCTGGGTTTGAGGACTTTGTCAATAACTTCTAGGGGCTGGGCTTCCTGCATGTATATAGCAGTTTGGAGGTGCCAGTCAATAAACACCTGTATATCGTTCATTCCACGAGCAGTGACTCTTGAGATCCTCGGTACTCTAGGTCTTTTTTTTTTTTTTACATTAGTTATGTGATTTTAAAGCACTGGAGCATTTCTTTACACAAGTTTTGCTTCAAACCTGTTTTGCCATCAGGTAAAAATATCATTCTTGATTGTGTTGGGGAACATTACTCACCCTGGCTAGATAACTGATAATACATGCTTTCTGGTCACTTCTGTCCTCTAGCCTGTCATTATATATTGAGTCTAGGTCAAGAACCCACTTTCCTTTTAGCAGTTTTTAATTAAAAACTAACTTTGGATTCTACCATCGATGGGTGTCGCAGTCTTACACTGCTGCGTTTCACAAAGCAATAGTGCCACCCAGAGTCATAATATGTTTTCCTTGGTGGAAGGGACACATCAGGTGTTCAGCTAATGATCAAACTTTTCTTGTACTGCCACAATATTTAGTGGAGATATCTATTGTTGTGAGAGCTTTTGAAAGTCTGGGTGCTGGCAGATGCAGCATGTAGAGTTTGGCCGTCTGCCTTGTATATGCCTAGTAAAGTGATAAGTATTAGTGAAGAGGAGAGAAAGGAGATTTTTTTAATTTGATGTAACCATCCTGGAATAATAATAAGGGAATCCAATAAACCCAAGTTCATTCTCTGGGTAAGGAGATCTGTAAAACCAGACCTTTGGGTAAAGGCCGAACTCTGGTAGCCCAAGGCTGACAACTCTTCCCCGCTGGTCCACCGTGCTAATGAAAGAGATGAATAATGGTTAGAAGCAAAGTGAGGAGATTCAGTGTGGCACACTGGGAAGAAGAGCAGACAGGATTCAGTATCTTAGGGATGAGTCTTCCACTCTGTTGGTATCAACATAGGCTTTAGATGGAAACAGGAAGAACTGGTAGAGAGGCTGGGTTATTTATTTATTTAATTTATTTTATATCCTGACCACAGTCTTTTCTCCCTCCTCTCCTCCCATTCCCTTCCCCCTTCCCTTTAGCTCCCCACATCCACTCCTCCTCTGTTTCTGTTCAGAAAAGGGCAAACCTTCCATGGATGTCAACAAAGCATGGCATATCAAGATGCACAAAGACTAAGCACCTCCCCTTGTACCAAGGCTGAGCAAGGCAGTCCAATATGAGGAATAGGCTGCCAAGAACCAGCCAAAACATTAGGGACAGCCCCTGATACCATTGCTAGGAGTCCCACAAGAAGATCAAACTACACAACTGTCGAATATATGCAGAGTGCCTAGTTCAGTCCCATGCAGGCTCCCTGGTTGTTGGTTGACTCTGAGCTCTTATGAGCCCAGGTTAGTTCTTTCTGTGTTCTTTCTTGTGATGTCCCTCATGCCTCTGACTCCTATAATACTTCTTTCCTCTCTTCAGCAGGATTCTCTGAGCTTGTGCTTGACTGTGGTTCTCTGCATCTGTTTCCATCAGCCACCAGATAAAAGGTCCCTGAAGACAATTGGGGCAGTCACCACAGGAGGCTACATATCCACTATTGCTAGGAGTCTTAGCATGGTGTCCTCCTTGTAGATTTGTGGGAGTTTCCCTTGTACTAGGTTTCTATGTGTCCCCTCTTTCCAGTCATCTCTTTCAGTACTCTCCCCCTCCACCCACCTCCCAACCAGATCCCTCAAGTTCCCATCCCCACCCACCCTCAGTACACTATGGATGTCTAGTCTATTTCCCTTTCCCAGAGAAGTCCATGCATTCCACTTGGGCCCTCCTTGTTACAGAGTCTCTCTGGGTCTGTGGATTGTAACATAGCTATTCTTTACTTTACAGTTAATATCCACTTATGAGTGAGTACCTACCATATTTGTCTTTCTGGGTCTGGGTTACCTCACTCAGGATGATTTTTTTCTAGTTCCAGAGGATGAGGGGTTTGTATAACTACACTTCGTGGTCAAGGGGTGGGCTGGATGATTGTTGCATGAGCTCTGGCTCTGTAAGATATCTGTAGAAGTCCTTGCCGGCTGAGGTGATCAATTTGGTTCCCAAGAGATAACAACTCTTGTAAAGTGCAGCTTTATCAGCACAGATGTCTTCATTGGGGGGCATGATATGCCCTGTTTGACCTTGCTGTTTCTAGAACTCAATGTGCTTACAGGTTTAGGCCAATGACCTCTTACTTTTGTGCTTTCATCTTTGAAGGGAGTGAGATGCCTCAGGTCTCACTGGTTTGTAGATAGACAATCCTTTAGTGACAACAATGCCTATGTAGAGTCAAGCAGGACACCCAACGTAAAGTTGATGGATGTAAAATGAAGATAAAGATGCCACACTTTCATCCTGTTTTCAGTTATTTTGTTGGTCCAAGTGAAGAGCCTGTGTGCTCTAGCCTAAGCTGTTCTAAGTGCCTATAATACTAGTAGAAAAATTCTGCTTCCATCATTTACCGGCCAAATGACTTTGGAAAGCCAACTAAGCCTGCTTCTCTTCCATTTCTTTATCTGAAAAAAAGAAGATAATAGTGCTGCCTAACAAATGGCATTGTAAGGATTAAATAAGCCAATTATGTAAATTGCTCAGGAGAGTGCCTACTTCAGAGTAAGTGTGCTGCGTGTGTGTTTGTGTGTGCATGCCTTTCTGTGAATAACTTTTAAGCATTGCTAAGGACCCTATTCCCTGCTGTTTTCTTCTGAGACTAATAGAGTACCCTTTCTTGTATTGCATTAGAGTTTTTTTGCTAAGAATTTTTGTTCAAAATTTCATCCTTTGGTCTGGTAATTTTCCCTCACCTTTGTGCTTTCTATGTAGTTGACAAATACTCACTTATTATTAAAGGTAGTAGTAAGTCACTGCTGTTTCGTTGTGAGTAGCTAAATTGGGTATATGCAGACCTCTTTGGGGCCTAGAAAGCTCTGTTACTCTTACAAAAAAAAAGTAGTTTTTTCCCATTTTATTGAAAATAGATTATTTTTTCCAGGATTTGGGTATTATAAACAATGTTGATATGAACATAGCTGGGCAAGTGCTCTTGTGGTATAATTGAGCATTTCTTGGGTATATGCCTAAGAGTGGTATAGCTGGATCTTGGGGGAGATTGATTGCCGATTTTCTAAGAAAGAACCATATTGATTTCCAAAGTGGTTGTACAAGTTTGCATTCCCACCAGCAGTGGAGAGTTCCCCTAGTTCCACATCCTCTCCAGCATAAGGTGTCTTCAGTGTTTTTGATCTTAGCCATTCTGACAGGTGTAAGGTGGTATCTCAGAGTTGTTTTGATTTGCATTTCCCTGATGATTAAGGATGTTGAGCAATTCCTTAAATGTCTTTCAGCCATTAGAATTTCCTCTGTTGAGAATTCTCTGTTTAGTTCTACAGTCCATTTCTTAATTGGACTGTTGGTTGTTTTGATGTCTAATTTCTTGAGTTTCTTATATATTCTGGATATCAGTCCTCTGTCAGATGTGGGGTGCCCTTCAACTGAAGAATGGATAAATAAATTGGGGCACATATACACAATGGAATACTACTCAGCAGAGAAAAACAACGACATCAGGAGGTTTGCAGGCAAATGGATGGATCTAAAAAAAAATCATCCTGAGTGAGGTAACCCAGACTCAGAAAGACAAATATAATATTTACTCACTCATAGAAGAATACTAGAGGTGGAACAAGGATGACTGTACTGCTACTCACATCACCAGGGAGGCTACCTGGAAAACAGGACCCCAAGAAAGACACGGGGATCGCCCAATGACGGAGAAATGGATGAGATCTACATGAACAGCTGGACATGAGTGGGGGTAATGAAGGGCAAGGGTCAAGGGAAAGAGAGTTGGAGATCCCAGCTGGATCAAGAACAGAGAGGGAGAACAAGAAATAGGAGACCGTGGAAAATGAAGACCACATGAGAAAAGGAAGAAACAAAGTGCTAGAGAGGCCCACAGAAATCCACAAAGATACCCCCACAATAGACTGCTGGCAGTGGTCGAGAGACAGCTGGAACTAACCTACTCTGGTGATGGGATGGCCAAACACTCTAACAGTTGTACCAGAAAACCCATCCAAGGACTGAGGAATCTGGATGCAGAGATCCATGGCTAGGCCCCAGATGGAGCACTGGGAGTCTAATTAGTGAGAAAGAGGAGGGTTTATATGAGCGAGAATTGTTGAAACCAAGGTTGGATAAAGCACAGGGACAAATAGCCAACCGAATGGAAACACATGAACTATGAAGCAAAGGCTGAGGGGCCCCCAACTGGATCAGGCCCTCTGAATAGGTGAGACAGTTGACTGGATTGATCTGTTTGGGAGGCATCTAGGCAGTGGTACTGGGTCCTGTGCTCATTGCATGAGTTGGCTGTTTGAAACCTGGGGCTTATGCAGGGACGCTTGGCTCAGTCTGGGAGGAGGGCACTGGACATGCCTGGACTGAGTCTACCAGGTTGATCTCAGTCCTCAGGGGAGGCTTTGCCCTGGAGGAGGTTGGAATGGGAGGTGGGCTGGGGGGAAGGGGAAGGGGACAGGAGGGGGAAGAACAATGGAATCCGTGACTGATATGTGGAACTGAATGGTATTGTAAAATAAAATAAAAGGAAAAAAATAGATTATTTTCTCACATAACATATTCTGATTACAGTTTTCCCTCCCTCTACTCCTCCCAGTTCCCTCCCACCTTCCCTTCCATCCAGAGCCACTCCCTTTCTGTCTCTCATTAAAAAAAAAAGGCTTCTAAGAGATAATGAAAAAATGTAATAAAAAATATGATAAAATAAAAACTATCACATCAGAGCTGGACAAGACAAAAAGTGGAAGAACCCAAGGGAATGGTCAAGATCCAGAGTATGCTTATTTGCACACTAGAAATAACATAAAATCACTAAAAATAAAAAATATATAAATGCATACGACCTTGTCCAGACTGGTTCAGACCCTGTGCATGCTGCCTTCGTCTCTGTGAATTCATATGAGGTTTGATCATGCTGATTTAGAGGGCCTTGTTTCTTGGTGTCCTCCATCCTCTATGGATGGCTCTTTCACTATTTCTGTCTCCTCTTCTTTGAGGGTTCTCTGAGCCTGAGTGGAAGGATTTGATGGAAACATCTCATTTAGGTTTTAGTGTTCCAAGGTCTCTCACTCTCTGCATAATGTCTGGCTGTGGGTCTCTGTATTTTTTTTTTCCCATCTGCTGCAGGAGAAAGCTTTTCTTATGTTGGCTGAGCAAGGCAATGATCTCAAAGTATAGAAGAATGTCATTAGGGGTCATTTTATCACTACTTTTTTCCCCTTCTTTTTTTTTTTCATTTTATAATTTGATTTAATTTTACATATCAGCCAGGGATTCCCCTGTCCTCCCTCCTCCTGCCCCCACCCTCTCCCCAGCCCACCCCCATTCCCATCTCCTCCAGGGCAAGGAATCTCCTGGGGATTCAGCTCAACTTGGTAGATTCAGTCAAGGTAGGTCCAGTCCCCTCCTCCCAGGCTGAGCTAAGTGTCCCTGCATAAGTCCCAGGTTCCAAACAGCCAGCACATACACTGAGCACAGGACCCGGTCCCACTGCCTGGATGCCTCCCAAATGCATCAAGCTAATCTTATCACTTATCCAGAGGGCCTGATCCAGTTGGGGGCTCCTCAGCTATTGGTTCATAGTTCATGTGTTTCCACTACTTTTTTTTAAAACCAGTAATATTTGATTTTTTACTCTAGGTCCCTGGGCTATCTACCTTCTGGGTTTTGGTCACCCAAGCAGTGTCAGGTATGGATTCAATCTCACCGAGTGGGCCTTAAATCAAATCAGATATTGGTTGGTTACGCCCACAAGCTTTGTGCCACCTTCTCACCATTGCCCTAGCCTATCTTGCAGGCAGGACACCAGTGTAGGCGAAAGGATTTGTGGCTGGCTTGGTGTTTTTTATTTCACTTTTAGTAGTATGAAGATTACCTTTTTGTATCAAAGAGGCTACAACATAGGACTGAAGGCTCTATGTAAGCACCAGATCAACTTTTCCATGTTCAATAAGTTGTGTAGGAACTGTCTTCAGCAAAGGGCCTTGCTGTCTGCAGAAAGGAACCTATTTACCTTTGTCAACAACCTCAGTTGTTTGGGGATTCCCATGGAACCCTTTGGTCAACAACTCAATTGGATGTAACCCAATCCTGGTTACATCCTGAAGCTCATTTGGTGACAGGAGATGGTCAGATGGGACTCTGTCTCCCCAATTATTTGGTGATTTCATTTAGATTACCTTTATATATGCATGGTTTTTAGGAAGTTTATGCTTCTCTACTATATTAGGTTTCCATACTATTCCTCAAATGGCCCTTAAGTTTAGCTGTTTCTCCCCCATAATTCCTCTCCCCACCCCGTTGACCCTCCCATTCCACCCTCATCCATCTTTAACTATCTATTCTATTCCCTTTCCTAATGAGATTTATGTGTACCCTCAAGTCTCTTGCTCTATACCTGTCCTATGCAGTTCTGTGGATTGCAGCTTGGTTATCACTGACATAATAGCTAATATCTACATAAAAGTGACACACACCATATTTGTCTTTCTGGGTCAGTGTTTCCTCACCCAGGATGATTTTTTTCTAGTTCCATTTGTTTACCTGCAAATTTCATGATTTTTATATTTTTAGTGGCTGAGTAATCCTCCACTGTTAAAATGTATTACATTTTCTTTATCTTTTTTTTTTGTTGAAGAACATATAGATTGTTTCTGATTTCTTACTATTATTAGTAGAGCAGCAATGGACATGGTTGAGCAGTTGTCTCTGTGGTAGGATGAAGCATCCTTTGAGTGCTATAGCTAGATCTTGAAGTAGGTCAATTTCCATCTTTCTGAGGAGCCACAACACTGATTTCTATAGTGGCTGTACAAGTTTGCACTCCCACCATCAATGTGTGTGTGTTCTCCTTACTCCACACCCTCACCAACATGAGCTGTCACATGTTTTATTGATCTTAGCAATTCTAACAAGTGTACTATGGAAACATCAAAGTAGCTTTCATTTGCATTTCCCTAATGCCTAACTAAGGATGTTGAACATTTCTTTAGGAGTTTCTCAGCCATTTGAGTTCCTCTATTGAGAATTTTCTGTTTAGATTTGTACCCCATTTTTAATTTTAATTTTAATTTTTTTCGGCATGAAGATTAGCATACATTTTATTTCTCTTCTCTTTTTCACATTAGTATCCATTTTTTAAATTGGGTTGTTTTCTTAATTGTGGAGTCCCTCGTGGCTTTACCCAGCAGTTCTGCATAGAGAGGATGACTGGACCAAGGGCCTGAGTGCAGGTGTCTGAGATGGTCTGCACTTGGCTGTGCTGGGGTTGGAGGTCTTTTGCTCTACCCATTGGCGTTTCTATAAATACCTTAGGGTAGAGACAGTCAGGGCTCATTGGAATAGGTTCCAGGCCCTCTCAAGGCTATCCTGTATTTTCTATCTGTTTATCTCCACACTCTAAATCCTTCTATCTAATATTTCCTGCTGTTTGTGCGGTTCATGGGTAAATTCCCCGTACTTAATGTCTAGTTTTTTTAGTTCCTTGTATATTTTGGATATATCTCTTTATTAGATGTGTAGTTGGTAAAAACCCTTTCCCATTCTGTAGGCTGCCACTTTGTCTGAATGATGGTGTCCTTTACCATTCAGAAACTGCTCAGTTTCATGAGTTCTCACTTATTAATTGTTAATCTTAATGCTTGTGCTAATGATATTCTGTTAGAAAAAAAAGCAAATATTTTCCTGTTCCATTGAATCTAAGGCTATTCTCTGCTTTCTCCTCTATCAGGTTCTTTATATTGAGGTCTTTGATCCATTTGGAGTTGAGTTTTGAACAAGATGATAAGTATGTATCTATTTGGATTCTTCTACATGCAGCCATCTAGTTTGACCAGCACTATTTGTTGAAGATGCTCTCTATTTTCCACTGTTTATTTCTGGCCTCTTTTTTTTTTAAATCAAAAATCAGATGTTCATAGGTATGTGGATTTATGTCTGAGTCTTCTATTTGATTTCATTGATCAATGCGTTTGTTTTTTTGCCAATACCATGCTGTTTTTATTACTATAGCTTCGTAGTAAAACTTGAAACCGAGAATAGTGATACCTCCTGCAGTTCTTGTTTTACCAGGATTGTTTAAACTATATCTTGTGTGTGTGTGTGTTTCCACATGAAGCTGGATTGTCCTTTAAAGATCTGTGAAGAATTGTGTTGGAATTTTTATTGGGATTGCATTAAATCTGCAGGTTGTTTTGGTAGGATGACCACTTTTACTATGTTATTCCTACTGACCCATGAGCACAGGAGAACTTTCTGTCTTCTGATATCTTCTTCAATTTCTTTCTTCAAAGATTTGAAATTTTTATCACACAAATCTTTCACTTGCTTGGTTAGAGTTACCCCAAGATTATGGGGGGCTATTGTGAAAGGTTTTCCTTCCCTGATTTTTTTTTTGTCAGTCTGTTTATCATTTGTATATAGGAGGACTACTGATTATTTTGAGTTAATCTTGTATCTAGATTTCCTGATTTTAGTGGTATTGCTTTGATTTTTCCCTCCATTTATGTTGATGTTGGCTATGGGCTTGCTGTAAACTGCCCTTATTATGTGGAGGTATGTCCCTTGTATCACTAATCTCTCTAAGACTTTCATCGTGAAGGGGTGTTGGGTTTTGTCAAAGGCCTGTTTTGTATTCAATGAAATGATTATGTGGTTTCTGTCCTTCAGTTTGTTTATATGATAGATTACATTTATCAATTTATATGTTGAGCCATCCCTGCATCTGTGTAATGAAGCCTACTTGATCATGGATGATAGTCTTTTTGATGTGTTCTTGCATTTGGTTTCCAAATACTTGATTGAGAAATTTTAACATCTATGTTCATAAGAGAAATTGGTGTGTAATTCTATTTCTTAGGTCTTTATCTGGTTTGGGTATCATTGGTAACTATGGTCTCACATATCAAATTGGGGAATGTTCTTTCTGTTTCTAATTGTGGAATAACTTGAGGAATATTAGCATTAACTATTTCTTGAAAGTCTGATAGATTCTGCGCTAAAACCATCTGGCCCTGGGCTTTTGGTTGGGAGACTTTTAATAGCTGCTTATATTTCATTAGGTGTTATAGGTCTGTTTAAATTGCTTATCTGATCATGATTTAATTTTGGTAAGTGGCATGAATCAAGGAAATCATCCATTTCTTTTAGGTTTTCCAACTTGGTAGAGTATAGGATTTTAAAATATGTCCTCACGACTCTCTGAATTTCTTCTATATCTGTTGTTATATCCCACTTTACATTTCTAATTTGTTAATTTTGATATACTCTCTGCCTTTTTGTTAGATTGGATAAGGGTTTGTTGATCTTATTGATTTTCTCAAATAACCAACTCTTTGTTTCATTTATTTTTGTATTTTTTTGTTTTTGTTTCTGTTTTATTGATTTCAACCCTGAGTTCAATAATTTCTTGCTGTCTCCTCCTTTTGGGTATGATTTCTTCTTTTTGTTGTAGAGCTTTCAGGTGTGATATTAAGTTACTACTATGAGACTACTCCAATGTTTTTTTTTAATTTTTAATTTTATAATTTAATTTAATTTTAAATATCACCTACGGATTCCCCTGTCCTCCCTCATCATGCTCCCCCACCCCCGCTCTTCCCCCAGCCCACCCCCCATTCCCATCTCCTCCAGGGCAAGGACTTCCCTGGGGATTCAGCTCAGCCTGGTAGATTCAGTCCAGGCAGGTCCAGTCCCCTCCTCCCTTCTCCCAGGCTGAGCAAAGTGTCCCTGCATAGGCCCCAGGTTCCAAACAGCCAACTCATGCACTAAGGACACGTCCTGGTTCCACTGCCTGGGGGCCTCCCAAACAGTTCAAGCTAATCAACGGTCTCACTTATCCAGAGGGCCTGATCCAGTTTGGAGCTCCTCAGCTATTGGTTCATAGTTCATGTGTTTCCACTAGTTTGACTATTTGTCCCTGTGCTTTTTCTAATCTTAGTCTCAACAATTCTCGCTCATACAATCCCTCCTCTTTCTCACTGATTAGACTCCCGGAGCCCCACTGGGGCCT